GTCGCAATTAGTGGTCATAATTTGCAATATTATAGCCTAGTCCATAATGATAAAGTAAAACGGCCGCCTGTCAATGTGACAGTCCTACTTAGGTGTCAATTCAAGGTAAATTCAAGTATTTTGGAAATACTTGACATCTGTTGTCAATGATATATAGATTTTATCGTTTATTGAATTCCATGAAATTTTCATTTTTAAGGATTGTTGCAGTCGTACATAAAGCTTTATATACAGGGTGGTGACTTGCGTAACGCAACATAGGGATTTCAATGTAAAATTCATAACATGCGATTATTGGCTCCCCAAATTATTTTAGAGCAAAAATGTATTAAGGTTTTTTGTAGGAAAAATTTTTTGACGTCAATCAACTCTATTAGTTTTCAATTTTTTCCATAATAAAGACGGAAAATTGGAAATAAAACCCCCATCTTTTTCAATAATCTGTGATGCCATGGAATTTTACAATACAAAAACTACGCCAATATCCGTCATGCCATGGAATGTCCGCTATAAAACAAATCAAATTCTATCAAAAAGTATTATATTTAGAACAGCAAATTCAACATAAAGAAAGACCAAATTACTAAAAACGGTTTCCTAATATAACAATTTACAATAAATGTTCGAATAAGTCACCATTAACTGCAATACAGTAACCAAGTCGAACATAAAATCCATTTCGAACTGCTGCTAATTGATAACTGGATATCTTTTTGTTTTAGAAAATTCCATGGCATCGCAGATTATTGAAAAAGATGGGGGTTTTATTTTCCAATTTTCCGTCTTTATTATGCAAAAATAGGGTTGATTGACGTAAAAAAATTTTTCCTACAAAAAACCTTAATACATTTTTACTCTAAAATAATTTGGGGAGCCAATAATCGCATGTTATGAATTTTACATTGAAATCCCTATGATGCGTTACGCAAGTCACCACCCTGTATATCGCGTCCATAAAGACTTAGTTTATGTACTTGATATATAAATAGCTATTACATTATTTGTATGTTAAATCAGTTAACGTGACTCGTTTCGAAGTTCGGAAAGTGATACATTACTAGCGAGGAAATATTGAAGTGCGAGGCCCCTCGGGGGTCGAGTACTTTAATTTCCGAGTCAGGTAATGTCACTTTACTGACGAATTTTGTATCAAATTTTACCCAAAATCGTATTTTAATATAACATTTCAATTTTTATACATAACTTTTGATTAATGTCAATCTATCAGCGATGGTAGGAGCCATTATAGACATTTGGAAATGTCACAAATGCGACCGGTAAAGTGATGGTGCGGCCGTAAAGTGACAGGCGGCAGGAAACGTAGTCTGCTCTGCTTGTCATGGAAACTAAAATTTCCTGACAGAAAGTAGGCATGAAAATGAAGATTTCAGGATGATTTTGGGTAAAATCTATTTGGACCATCGTAGGTTAAATTTTGAATGATACACGTTCTATATGAACCTTATGAAATTTGTGTAACGAAAATTGAACGTTACACGCGTTTCATTCCGACGTTCATAACCGAACGTGTATCATTAATAACTATTAAAGGATTTTAAGGGATTTTATAACTTTGTAAGAGGTTTTAGTAGTCGCAACAGTTGCCGGAGGCCCTTAAACACTTTTCAAAAGCATTTACATGTTTATCGCATCACACAGAATATTCTAGAACGTTTTTATTAAAATTTAAGAATCTTTAAAACTATTCAAGAACCTTAAAAGTTTTTTAAAATTCGCCAAATATCTTTTAAGAGGATTTGAATGTCAACCGTCTTCAGAAAACCGCAAAAGGAGTGCTAGAGCGAGACTGTCTTTAAGAGCACTTACAAGGCACACCGTTTCAGGATCTTGAACGTTCCTTAAGACACTTGTAGGCAGGTCAAAAACGGTATAGAGGGAAATGCTTGGAACACAATTTTTGACATTAGCATTGATATTAGCGTTTATTTTAAAAACTCGATAACTCGGAAACGATTGAATTTAGGTACATTATACCTATTACAGATTTTGCTTAAAATTGAGAGAAGAATTGAAATATTGAAAAACATACAAGGTATTTCATTTACAGATATGCAATTTTGGTGTGCCGTGCCTTTATGAGCAACTCTGTTTACTTAAAATTATTACTGCCTATTAGTAGCGTTTACTCAATGCTAGTAGACATTGAAGAACCCCAAAACTTTTGTACAAAACATATTTCGATATCTTGTATATTTTCGCCGATAATCGACCGTTTCCAGACTTATCAGCGCCCCTGTATTTAAAATGGCACTGAAACGAACCAAAATGTGCACCATTTTTTGACAATTTTGCAAAAAAATAATCGAAACGTTAAATTTGTATCGCATGAGGGTCTCAAATACCATTTCAGTTTCAAATCATTGATTTTATCCCTTTGGGGCAAAAAACCCTGCACATTTTTAAAAATATTAATGCAAGGTGTAATATTTAAGGTGGTACGTAAAATACATTTTTTTCCAAATAGAACAAGATCCCAAATACCTAGGTATTGATCTTGATTTTATCTTTTTATGTGTTATAGTGGTTGAAAGAAAAGAACGAAGAACCGCAAATTTGTGGACTTTTGGAAACGTCGCTTCCGAGCGAAATATTTTGGATTTTGGCTCATTTGGGAATCATATTTGTTTTGGTCTTTTATACATACTTACATGTTACACCCTGTATAAATCTTTTAAGAGCAGGATCTTCTTCTCTTGACGATATATTTAATCTCTGAACTAAAAATGGCGCTATACCTCTGTTCGACTGAATTCTTTCTTCTACCTAAATATTTAGACAACTACTCGTACTACTATTCGTGCTGAAAAGGAAACGTAAACAGGCGAGGAATAAAAATGTTGGAATTCTCAGGGAAATTGTTGCGCGCGAGGAACAGCCTGTATATCACATATCAAATACTGTAACGATTAATAATTGAATTTCGCAAATATTGGCATTTTGACTACCAGATTATCTGCATCGTTGAACGCGAAACTGCCTTTTGGCCTGTAATAGAAATTTCACAATTGCGAGCAATTTTGGGGCCAGTAGTGAAAGGAAGTGTCATGCCTAATTGAATTTGAACGCACGTAACTGATGCAATAATAAAGCGTTGTATTTTTTCACGAGTTTATTCACCCATTACGGCCATTACTTCTAATACGTTATAAAAGTAACATTCACAATATTATATTTTGTTATTTGAATCATTTTAAGCATCAGAATTATAAATTCGAGTCAAGCACTCTTAACTCTCCTAAAGTTCACTTCTCATTTTTGTCTTCAATTTCTCTATAAGCCAAGTTCATCTTACCTAAAATTTTTCATGCGCCCTTAAAATTCATTCAGGTAATTTCTATTTAATTCTTTTCAGATTGCTTTCAAATTCTTCTGATGGTTAATTAAAGTTCTTTTCCAGTGCTTCTCGAGTTTTTAAATCCACGTCGTGTTTGCCTCCAGCTTTACTCATTCCTTTTTAAGGGATTTTAAGTTCTCTTTTCAAACTGCTTCAAGTTATCAAATCCCCTAGCTCTTCACCGTCGACGTCACTTCCAGTTCTCTTCATCAGCGTCCCTCAAATTTCCATGAAAGTCCCACCAAGTTCCACAAATTTCATTTTCCCTTCTTAAATTTTCTCTCATACTCATTAATTAAGCTCCGCTTAAATTCTCCTCCCTTCACTCAAGTTATTCTCTCTGCAGAAGTTCTTCTTAGTCGCTTAACGAACTCTGTGCATAAATAAACCCCTAAAGCGGATCTAAAAAAGCGACAGAGCACCTCGGTTTGACCCTACGGAGTCATTGGATTTGACCCAATAGGCTTATGTTATTGTGGCATGTAGGTCAACTGTGCAAAGTTTTGACGGACGGACAGACAAGTCGTTTTTGGGTAAATTTTCGAGGAACTTACCATTACTAGTCAAATTAATCAATCAGCAATCTTTATTTGTCAGTATACCATAAATAGGTTATAATTATAAATAAATAAAGTACATGCGGTGCGGTCTACAGATCAGCTATGCAGAATGTCAAAATTCTTGGTTTGCATTTAATATTTCCAATTGTTTTTGCAAAAGGCGTGAAGGAACATTTGGAGTCAATTTTTAAGCCTAGGTATTCAACAGTAAAGGGATTATTTTTTACTCGTATCGTAAATATTTCTGCACAGCCTTTCGAACAGAAAGTCCTATTAGTTTTTCGGAATCGAAAACCATGATCTAATGATAGTGGAGCAAAAGCCAAACACAAACTCGATCAAAAAGTGCAGAACGGGAAAGTGATTTATGATACCCATCTCGTTGATGGACTTATCATAACCACAACCACAACGCTCTGTTTCCCTCGTAATTAAATCATTCTACGAGGTGTAAGTATATATTTATCCACGCATCGAGTTTACAATGTAATTTAATTCATTCTCTACCGAGTACGCAATTAATATTTATGGTCTTCCTCAAATTATATTCATTTATAGCTGAAGAGAGAAAGAAAGTAAGCATATTGTACGAGCGCAATATCTCTCGCAACAGTTAGATGAACTAATTGCATGATTTACTATAGAGACCATTTATTAAACATTTTATACTGTTATTTGCACATTACCCACTAAACTATTAACAGTTTCGCTATTTCAACACAAGAATATGCTCACTTCGGCGGAGTGCTTCTGGAATTATGGCCGTTCGGGAAAATGTTAAAGTGGGTTCGGTGCACCAATTTTAAGATCTCGGTACAGGATCTTTGTATTATTGCGGTATGTTTTTGTTTTTAAATTGAAACACGATCGGGGGTATACGTTACCTTCCAAATTAGTGCTGTCATTGCATAATAAAGTGCAACAAATCTCTGCTCTGCAGTTCGCTGATCGTACAATTAATGAGACAACCTACTTCCTGATTACTTAAGCTTGTATTAATTATTTACATCAATTTAAATATTCATTAACGGGATCTTGCAACTTCCTTATTGGTAATTAATAGGAGCACTTTTTGTTTGTTTCAGGGTTCCGATCCGCGAGTAGCAACATGCCGCGGCAAATTGCAGAACAAGCGCTCCAAATTAAATCAGGAGATCAATAAGGAATTAAGGTTAAGGGCGGGCGCCGAAAATCTCTTTAAGGCGACTACGAATCGAAAGTTACGAGAAACGGTGGCACTAGAACTTAGTTTTGTCAACTCCAATCTTCAGCTGCTCAAGGAGCAATTGGCGGAGCTAAACTCTTCGGTAGAACTTTACCAAAGTGATAGGTAAGTTTACTTCTTATACGGAAACGTTATGCTCCAGAACCATTGTAAGCGTGGTGCTATCAGTTTTGGATTTGCACTGGATTTTGCATATTTAAAAGAGGTTCAAGACCGATCTCAATTTCCTACTTCGGACCTAAATTTCTTTTTAATTAAAATAATTAATTAATTCCCTGCTAGCATTCGATAAAATGATGTTATACACGGTGTCCATTTTTCGAGTGCCATTATGGGGATCTCACTTATCTTAAGAGATAGAAAGTTGGTTAAATGGGGGCAAAGTTGCAAATTTCCGTGCTGAATAAGAATTTGAAGAGAATTTTGAAATATCTTCAATACTTTTGAAGATATCACAAAAAAACGAAAATTTCTGATTTTCGTTTTTAATTTTTTTATGATAAACTAGTCGTAGTAGACATTTCTAATTAGCACATTATTCGGACACTTTTTAATGGAGATTTCAAATATGGCATCCTGTTTTTAATTACGTTCAAGATGACGGAGAAACACGTGGCAACTTTAGTTTTTCTTATGGGCGCCATATTGAATTTTGACATTTTGGGATTACGTCTTTTTTCTCTTTACAACGATATATCACACATAGTGGTTCAGTATCACATTTTTCCTAAAAATACAATTTTTCATTTTTTGAAAGGAGTGCTTTGGAAAAACAAAACGTTCTTTTGTTGTCAACAAAAGTTTGACAGTTTGATCCATCTGTCTGGTTGCAGCGTTGTCAGAGAAGTAGAAATTCGATTTTCATCTCAACCGCTTGCAAAATTGCCTGCTCATATTAATTGGGTCTATCACCATATTGCTGTCTACATCTTTTAAAAGAACCATATTCGTTTTTAGGCAGCAAAGAAAAATACCTCAAACTAGGTTGTTGCCCCTCTGGATAACGCTGCAAGTATGTTGCAGCAGTCATGTGAGCATTTCGATGAGAAGTGTAGTAAATTTGGATCATATCTCTTTGATCTGCACTTGAAAAATGCATTTTCGCAATACAACTAGCATAAACCTGAATGACACTACATGAAATAAGTCAACCTTTTGTTCACAACAAAATAACGTTTTGTTTTTCCAAAGCACTCTTCTCAAAAAATTAAAAATTGTATTTTTAGGAAAAATGTGATACTGAACCACCATGTGTGATATATCGTTGTAAAGAGAAAAAAAGACGTAATCTCAAAATGTGAAAATTCAAAATGGCGCCCATAAGAAAAACTAAAGTTGCCACGTGTTTCTCCGTCATCTGGAGAGTTATTAAAAACAGGATGCCATATTTGAAATCTCCATTAAAAAGTGTCCGAATAATGTGTTAATTAGAAATGTCTACTACGATTAGTTTATCATAAAAAAAAATAAAAACGAAAATCAGAAATTTTTTTTGAGATATCTTCAAAACTATTGAAGATATTTGAAATGTCTTTTCAGATTCTCATTCAGCACGAAAATTGGCAACTTTTCCCCCATTTAATCAACTTTCTATCTCTTAAGATAAGTGAGATCCCCATAGTGGCACTCGAAAAATGGACACCGTGTATAACGAAACTCTTTTAGTGGAGAAACGGTTCCTTTCCCTTTTTTACTTAGAATTTCCTGGTTAATAGACAATAACGATCCAACAGAATTGTGACAAATATATATGATGAATAAAACAAAACAAAAAAACAAGAGAGGGATAATAATAACAAACATTAATCCACAATCCAAGTCATGTAAGAGTTTTTTTTAATACGATTAATTTTAACCCTAATTATGTATCAATTTGGTTTGACTTGGTGGTCACCTTTCCTGAAGTTGTTGTTTTTCGACGGACACAAAAATGGACTCGGTTTCTTCTGTACAATGGATGCAGCTTAAATTACCCTGGATTGACTGATTTCATGACAGGGGGGGGGGGGCGAAAATAAAAAAGCTACAGAATTGCAGACGTAGAGGTGCACGGGAATTTTTTTAAGTAGGTTTGACCCAATTTCAGCTGTTCGAATACGATCATCCGGATCATCATCGAACTGTCGAACTGCTGATTAGGGTTGTTTTACATTACAGCAGATGAGCAGACGTGTTATTAATATGCATTTATTGAAGTTAGTAGTGCGGTGGTAGTCAGTGCTGAGTGCAGTCGTTGAGTCGCAGTCTGGACAATACACGATTCTGCCCCCGCCGGCATTATTTTGTATTTTATTCAATTTTATTTTTCCGTCAAGTGGTTTGTGGTTAGGTCTATTTAATTCGATTATTATGTAAACCTGATGAAATAATAAAACAATTGAACAGTATGTTTAGGGGGGGGGGGGCGATCGCCCCTGTTGCCCCCCCTAAAAACCGCCCCTGTTTCATGATCGTCGGATGTCTTAGAATCGCCTCGAAAATAGAAACGGCTCGGAATTCCTTCGCATAACGACTCGGTGGGGATCTTCAGCAGTATCTATTATATAGCCAGGAAAATTTGAGAAATTTTAAAGAGCCACCTTGAACTTTTTCAACTATATAATGGAATTTATTCTTTAGCGGGCTCTGAGTAATTGTTTTTAAAGTGCGCTGTTTAATTGTTAATTTTTTGGTTTAAATCTCGCCATACAAAATAAATTAGAGTTAGGGCGATAAATCCTTCCCCAGTCTTTTCCAAATATGCCAGTTTTGCACGTTCCACGTTTATATTAAGTGCTATCATGATGAGTTTGCAAATGTAACCCTAATAATTCCAATAAAAAAGATGAAGTGCGATACAAACTCCACACTTTATGGCTCTTCCGATTACCGAAAGTAATTAAGAAACAAAGCCTTATAGAAAACAGACAACGCAGGAATATTATTATTATTATACGTCTCTTGCATTGAAGTTGACCAATTTATTCTTTCAATTCTAACAAAACCACTATCCATCGGGAAAATAATTTTGAATAGAACAATTTGAGCATTGCATATAACAGAAACTTCACAGAGTATCAAAATTTAGCGTTTTCCATGATATTCTTGGTGGAAATCCAAAGAATAAATTTGTCAATCGTGGTGCAAATGCGGTGCGTTTGTTCTTCGTTTAATTTAAATCAAGTATAGTTTTCTTAATAGGTTTTGCAAGCCTCTCGAGCCGAGATGTCTGGGATTTATATCATTTTTCGTCTACTTAATTAGTGCTATTGGGTTGCAGTTGCTACCTCAGCATTAAATCACTTGCTTGCTCATAAGAGCCGAGTCAACGGAATTTTGCTGCTTAAGAACAACCTATTTCTCTTGTGTTTTCATGAATATAACGATTCCAATTGGCGCAATAAACAATATTGTGGACTTTTATTTTATTTTATTACACGTGGTTGGTAAGGATCAGTACTTTGTAAAGTAATAGCGGGAATTACTTTTGGAGGAGACTTTTGGATTAATTCAGGTTTTAGATTACCAGGGTGGTCGATGTGTAGTCTGAAAATTAGAGTTATGGTAAAATTTGGATTGAATCCAGATTTTTAGACAACCTCGGGGCCAGCATTTGTGTTTGGAACGTAAAATATAACAACGGGAGTTGCGGTGGTTATCGTTAAAAAAGAAGAAAGTTTTAAGAAGATAAATTCTAACATGCAGGATTTATACACGTAGTAAACATACAAATAATCACGAAAATTAAAAGACTTTAATAGACAGTTAACGTCGCGAAAGAATTGTTTACATAGGGAAATAAAAAACTGCTGTATTTGGTCAAAAACAATTTAAGTAGACATCTTAATATATTTAGTTGCAACAAAGAACCATTGTTAAAACTGCTGTGTAAATGTAAAGTTCTCAGTAATGAGAAGAGACAGAAAGATAAAAGTAACTGCTTTCCTAGGTTTTGAGTGGGCCATTTTTGCAAAATTCTCGCCCCGGAAAATTAGCGCTTAAAAATTTCGCCCCCTCTGAATACTCTCACTGCCAGAAAATTGATTTTCACCCCTATTTTTGACCGCGTTTGTGCAGTTAGGTCCTGGAATATGGTTTTTCGTAGTGCTAGTGAGGTTACTTGGGAGGAATGTAAGTCAATATGGTGGAAGCGAAGATACTACAGGTAAATTTTCTAGGGGCGAACATTCCAGGAACTAATTTTACCGGACGAGTTTTCCGGGGCGAATTTACCGCACACAAACCTAAAAACGTAGGAACCAGGAAGTTTACTAGTAAATTAATTTTGTTGCGTGAATTGAGTACTTCCGATATAAATACGTTTGTATTGAAAATTAGGCTTCAGCCAAGATAAATTTAACTGTAGCATGAAGGACCAGTCCTTAATTGTTTTCAATGAAAGTTAACTTTTCCACTAAAATTAGAGATGCAAAAATGCTTCCTAAAGGAAAGTTTTTATTTTACCCGTTTTCGCGTTTAACCCCCCTCATTTGCCCATTTTTAACTGCCAATTTATACATTTACTGATGCCAGAAGTTGCCCGCTTACTTATTTGGTTGAGGTCCAGGGTCACTTTTAGATTTCCCTTCAGTTTTTTGTAGCATTATTAACGAGTTCCTAGCGAGTTTATAATTTTACTATGGCTGTCCGTCTGTATGTCCGTCCGTTAGCGCGATATCTCGAAAACGAGTTTCTTGTGTCGTTCCGTGAGATTTAAATTCTAAGAGGAATTCTATGAAAAATTTCGGAATCTCTAAATTACTTGTTACTGAAGAATTTCTGAACAATTTCTCTGAAAAGCTTTTGAAAAATCTGGTACGAAATCTTTGGACAAGCTAGGAAAAATCTTTGAAGAATATGATAGGAATCCGTCAATATTTCTTCAAAAATGTTTTTGATAAAGATCCCGAAGATAACATTTGTCAGAAATTCTTCGAGAGATCATTCACCAAATTCAGGTAAAACTTTTCCTACTCTATTTTACATATTTTGTCCATCAGAAAATAAGTAACATCTGGGGACCCTAGGATTCTGTTCTATTACCATGATTTATATGGCTTCTGCTCTCAACCAATGTTTTGTATCATACACGACGATAAAGGGATTAAGGGAAACTTGTGTAAGTTATGCTTAAAATATCCCTTTATCGTGTTGTATAATAAATAACTATTATTTTTCCATTTCAAATTTTTAAAAATGATCTCCATTGCGTACAGAAAGCCTCGGAATTTATGTGTTCCGGCGATCAAGCTCTAAAGAAAGCATATAATACGACTATAATGCGATTCGTAACGTTCCCATTAAGGGTATTTACCTGCATTTAAAATTTTTACGACCCAATTAATAGGTACCGATTACGTAATAACAGCTTGTTAAATGTTACTGGCTTGTGTATGTGATTATACCTTTAACCTACTGGACTGGCAGGAAGCTTGTCCCGACCTACTGATACCAAAGGCAGTACTCAGTTAATTAGTATATATACTTATACCTATCAAAGCAAATTAACATCACAAAGAAAACTTTACAGAGCCCGGAGGTGCAACATTTTTTATGAATCACCCTGTAATTAAAACGTGATGGCATAGAGCCTTTAAAAATTACAAAAGTAATCTTAAGCGATTGAAAAAACTTTAACGGCCTTTTTCCGGAAGGACTAGTTACTCCAGTCCAATAATTTGTTTTCAGCCATTAATTAAGCAAACCGTTATTGCACCTTATGTAAAATTTCTGAAAAATCCGCCCATAACTACGAAAATTGGATCTGCCCATATAAAGTTGATTTTTAGGAGGTGCAGGTTAATAAATAAACTGTTTCAAACCAATATAGACAACGACTGACAAACAGACTAACAGGATTCGTTCTCGAGTTATCATGTACACACTCACTGCACAGACGGACGGACGAACAGAAACCAAAATCAGGAAGGAGTTTGTCGCTAGGTAATAAAAAATGAGCCCAAATTATATCTATACTGCTAACAGAGACAATTTGTAACGCATTTTTAAAGAATTAAAAAAAATGTACTATTGTTTGCGTTTTGTCCGTCCGGCTGTCCGTCCGTCCGGAGGTTTTGAAGTACTTTTAGGGGAATGTTCCTACATTCGTCGAATTTTTTGAAATATGTCGTACAATGGACACAAAACAAATTTATTCCGAAATACATTTACAGTAAATGATCAAGAAAAAAAATGAAATAAAGAGGGGTAAAAGCCTGTTTTTACATTTATTCCCACACGCAGGTGTTCGATTACAATTTGTCTCATTACATTTTGAGTTATGTATCGTGATAACAAGCCGGTCAACAACTACAACGGACGTTTTTCTGCGATGAAAACACGAACTCAAAAATGTTATTAAAGAATCGAATTACACGAAGATTCTTTGGCTACCAGGATTTATATTGTTAAGTCGTTTACCTCCAAAAAGCTCAGTAAAAGTACAAGTACCAAATATGTGTAAGAAAAGAGAACATCATCACCGCTAAAGAATTGTGAAAATAAGCTAGCTTTCACTTCGCAATTAAATGAATAATAATTTTTGAGCAAACCCCCAAAGGTATGTGTCACGCTTATCTTGTATTATTTGTTATTAACACACCTCACAAAGAGCTATCAACATGTAATTTAACGAGAACGTCCGCATTTGCATGGCAAATCTGCTGTAACACTTGTCTAATTGCCTCTACACCCAACTGTTATTTTTAGCAAACCGAATTACGAAAAGAAAAAAATGTGTTTCTAACAGTTACATCTTATAGAAATGTGGGTCAGGTTACAAAAGGCCCTCGGGCGTAGTAAGAAATATGTTAATGTACCTGTCCCAATGACCTTCGCATTTATTTACACCTGTGGATTGAACGGCTATAATATTTAAATATTGTTTTCAGCATGGATTCCGTAATGCCGATGATACCTCTTGGTCTCAAAGAAACGAAGGAGATCGATTTCATGGATCCGTTTAAGGATTTCATTTTGGAGCATTACAGCGAGGATGCTTTCCAGTACGAGGATCCCATTACAGATTTCATGGACACGCGACAGGTATGTTTGACCGTCTTCGGCTCTTGAGATTGTTTATTTGTTTTTAGGCGATGAGGACGCCACTTCGAGACAACGCGGGCATAGCGTTGCTCTTTAGGTACTACAATCAACTGTATTTCGTAGAGCGTAGATTTTTTCCGCCCGATCGATCACTCGGTATATATTTTGAGTGGTTTGATTCTTTGACAGGTAAAATGCAGGTCGCGGCGTAAACTGCTAACGACAACGCTTCGTTTAGGTGTACCTTCGTGCCAGAGGACGGTCGCATTTGAGAAGGCGTGCGTTTTGTTTAACATAGGCGCTATTTACACGCAAATTGGAACAAAACAGGACCGCTGCACGGCCAAGGGATTAGATTCCGCTGTTGATAGTTTCCTGAGGGCTGCTGGAACATTCAAGTATATCCATGAAAATTTTACAAACGCGCCTTCGATGGATTTGGGACCTGAAATGCTAGAGATGTTAGTTCAACTTATGCTGGTACAGAGTCTCCGTTTCTGTTATTGATATTTACGGTGCCCTGTTCCAGGCACAAGCTAGAGAATGTCTCTTAGAAAAACTAGAGCTCCAATCGCGAGAGGATCGTTCTGTAGATATTTCGTTCGATTTAGCTCAGGAGGCGGCGCAGCTATCACAGTGCTACGCAAACGTTCATCAGCTCATCACGCACGAGACCGTCCGCGATTATGTACCTTACAGCTGGGTTTCTCTAGTACAAGTGAAGCGCGAGTATTTCAACGGAATGGCCCACTACCACGCCGCTAGCGGCATTCTTCACGAAGCGGCGTCTCAAATGTCAGCAGCCACCAAAGATATTTTAAGGTTTCTGCATGTCGAATCCACATCGACCCAACTCAACATCCGTTTGCCAAAAGACGACGTCGAAAGGCGGCTGTTAGGTAAATCCACCCGCGCCATTATAACTGTTGAACATTTCAATTTTTAGGCAAGGCTCATCTTCGGGAAGCGCTGGTGCTGCACGAAGAGTGCCAAAGGTTACAACGAATGTGCCGCGAGTTAAAAAGTAAATTAGCGCTAACTTGCGTTTTAAGAATCGCTCATAGCGAAGCGCTCCAGAGTTACACCGCCAACGAACACGAAGACGACTTCCGAGAGCTGTTAGATCCGCCACAAATACAACGTAAGTCTCTGAACGTCACGAGCAGACCCACATGAGTGAATTTGTAGCGTCCACCAAATTTCAACTGTCACTCACCGCCCCGGATTTCGCCCAGCATCGAGTCAACGACTTGTTTCGAGCCTTAGGACCTATAGCGATATTTTCCGCGAAGAGACACTGGACGGCGCCGCGTCTCGTCCAGCTACACCGAGGTCGCAACTCCGATGGCTTCGGATTTTCAGTTCGAGGAGACGCCCCGGTTATCATAGCGAACGTCGAGTCTAATTCCCTGGCCGAGGTAAGTAGGGGAATTCTGTTACTCTTGGTTGACTATCATTTTAGTTTGGTGGAGTGAAAGAAGGCGATTTTATCGTAAATATCTTAGACAAGGATGTGAAATGGTCTTCGCACGACGAAGTCGTGAAATGCATCAAAAATGCCGGAGACTCGCTTAGTTTAAAATTAGTCACCCCTATGGATAGAAATTATTTAAAGGTACGTGTTGATCTCTCCCTTCAAGCTCTTGCTATTGCAATTTTCAGCCGGTTAAATCTAACAAAGGTTCTGTAAGTACACACAGTAGCAGTTCAGGTATATCAAGTGGTTTGTCGAGTCCTTCCGGTTCAGTAGCCCAACACAGTAACCACAAAAGATTAACGTGGAATCTATTTAAAAGACACTCAACGTCAAGGGAAGGTAAAGATTTTTACGATAATGTTATATTAAGGTAATTTAATTTGTAAAATATTGTAAACATCACATATTTATTTTGAAGTGATTCAGTAAGTTTCCTGAACCATACTAGTTTATTCTGTGCTTATTTAACTATAAGATTAGTGAAAGACTGATATTTAAGAAAAAGTTATGTAGGTATACATTTTTTGTTTATATTTTATTTGTACAGCAATAAGAATTTGAATATGTTTTTGCAGTAGCAAATTTGGTTTATTTTATATCGTTCACCTCCGTCCAAAGAGCAAAAGCTAGGCCACTATCAAATGAAAGGACACTTCCACAAAGTAGGCTCGAAGATTGCAGGGGCTAGGAGAAGAAGAAACCGCTACATATACTGTATCACTGTGGCGAGGCATGTAACAGGTCCAGGCACAGGTAGGGAGAATGAGGGTGACTAATAAATTAAATGCTGAAAAAAATCTTAAAAGCTTAAAGTTTCAAATAAACTACAAAAAACAGCTCTTCCCTTCACCTTCCTTTGCTCGCCCCGTAATATGCTCTCAGGAAAAATTCGGTCCCACTCACCTCCCCTTAGGAAATTCAGGGTACAATATAATTTGCTTACAATTTCAGTATACGACTTTTTTTTCTCCTTGCTGTAATAAGTTACTTTCTGTAAAATTGCAATATGTGGAGGGCCACTATGGGCATTCTAGCCATTCGTGCTACGTTACCATCGAAGCGAAAAGGAAACCCAACAAAACCCCCTCAGGTATGCGCAAACTGTGGCGGAATCACCCTGCAAACTTTTGTGGTTATTCATATACAGGGTCTTAAATTGAGTAGGATAACATGGCTATCTTTGTTATTATTATACTTACAGATTCGATTAAATTGGCAAGGATGTGTAGTTTTTGATGCTGATGAATATTCCGATGCGATATTTTGGAAAAAATAAATCGTTTCGTAGATAATTGGAAAAAAAACTGAAAATCGCCATTTTTATTAAAACGTTCCAATATTTTGGTAACAAAGAGAGCTATCGAAAAAAGTTTCAAACAAAAGTTGCAAGATTCGATGGGATAAATTCAATGAACGTAGAAAAAAAATTTTTAAAATGGCGGTTTTCGAGATATTGACATCAACTTCGCCTTATTTTAAATGGGCGCCATATTCGATTTTTACTCAGTTGGACAGAGTTTTTTTTCTCTTTTCAACCATCTATAAGTTATCATTCAAATAATAAACACGGGTAAAATTACAATTTTCAATTTTTCTTCATAGTTGGCCATGGAAACCGCACGCAATTGCGGTGTTACAATTGTCTAGCCGGTCAGTAGTTTTATTAAAGAATAAATTAATATCAAAAATATAATAACGGTATTTAAAATAACAGGAAATGTTCAAAATGCATTCCATTATTAACTATAAGCACATTCCGCACCGTTTAGCTACTGCAGCCGTTACCTTGCGCTGTGTATTCCTGTCAAAGAAATGTTACATTGTAAAATGACAATTAGGCCTCTACGCTAGTTTTGTTTCCATGGTCACCTATGAAAAAAAACATTTCCATTATTATTATATGCCACAGGTTCCCAACGGGAGCTGCACAGCCCAGCAGTGGGTGCCCAAGCATGCAAGCGGGGCGGTAGAGGCGCTCAGGAGTAAGTGGGGGTCGTTGATCAAGTAACGGGTGATCAAAAATGAGTTGCTGTTGAGTCGCCTTTGGAAGTTGAAGTGAAGTACGTTATCCCATGTAAACAAAAATCCAAAGGTGACTCGACAGCAACTCATTTTTGATTGCATAGTTCATACAGCGAAATGGTCATAGCGTAAGTATATACAAAATTAATTTTTTCAAATATCTATTAAGGTATCCAATTTGGAGGACTTCAATGAGACATTCTTATGCATGTTTCGGCATAATAAAGAAATTTCCCCATTACAACAATTTTGAGAGTGTTCGCCATCTTGAATTTTTTTAATGGCAACAAGGGTCTTGTTTTCTTTTTCTAGGGATTTTTTTACCTTTATTATTAAATGGGCTAAAGCTGCTCTACCAAACCAACCCACCATACATTTACAAATAGGTACCTATCCCCGAATCCGGATTCGAACCAGGAACCTTTAGTACCGAAAGCCGGATTCAAAAATTTAATCCTTTTTGTTTTGGCAATTCAACTCATGTATAAAAAATCGCATAAGCCGCAAGTGAAATTGTCACTTTGACAGCGGCAAAAGTTACCTGCAACTTTTCCAGCGACAAATGCACTAGTGGTTTTTTCACTTATTCATTTTCGAACCAATTATCGCATTATCCTTTCCCATATGACTAGTTTGACGTCTGTCAGTAATTGATTAGTTATGTGAATTTCTTGTTCGTTAAATTGTCCTGCCGAATTACACTCGAGGTTTGTATTTAAACCGAGTAAATTTGTGTTGTTGCAATTCAAATCTGTTGCCTTTTAGCAATTGAACTCGAAAAACTGTCAACCTAAAAATGCTCCACCTGCGGTGTCGCATTTTTATTAGTTGACAGTTTTTCTCGTCTAATTGCTAGGCAACAGATTTTCATTACCTAAACAACCCAAATTTACTCGGTAAAATACAAACCTCTTGTGCAATTATAAGTGAAAAATGTCGAACAAAATTAAATTGTGATATCTGATCTAAACTAAGCAACAATTGAACAACTGGAATGGTTCGAGATATTGATTTTGCAACTTGGAAGACTTTAAAGAGACATTGTTGCGCACATTTCAGAATGAAAAGGAAATTTAAATGACTTATGTGGTCAGTTAAAGAATTCAAGATGGCGGCCGCCCTCAAAATAGGGGCAATGAAGACATTTCTTTTTCATTCTGAAACATGCATAACATGGGGGGATATTAGCTTTCAAGTAATTTAAGTATATTGCCAGCAGAGTGCGTCAGTGTATCTACCGAAAACTCAATCAAAGGTAACTATAACGAGGCGGTAGTTATTTTTTTGGTCCTTAGGGGACGATGCTTTAGAAAAGGTTGGGAATCTATGTATATAGCACCCTAATCAGCATTTGTGGATTAATGCTAGCAAATAATGCTTCCAGAACTACCCCTCTAAGTTCTTCTTCCGTTGAAATTCTTTTCTAATAAACACGATTTTAATGAACGACATTATATCCGGTAAACGCGATGGTCTGGCCGTTTCGGAATGCGTGATAATCACTTTTTCTGGAAATCTCATTGAAAGAGATTCATGTAATGCTCTAGAATTATGTGCAGGTGCACCATTCTGCTGTATCCAACAGATCCAACTATCGCTGGAGGGATTTTATCAAGAGCATCTTCTAAATCGTTTGCAATCAATGTAAGTATAGTTCTCGGATGTTCAAATGCGGTTGTAAATTAGGAAATACCGACCCACATATTAAAACCTTTGATTTTTAAACGTGGATTGATTCCAGAACAATAAATATAGCGAACATTTTCTCTATTGAACATGCCATTATTCCTAATCATTACTCTAATGAGACCAGATTATAAATTCGTATTTTCTTGTGTAACATTTGCAGAATGAGCGACGTCTTTTTAAATCGCCTGATCTAGTAGTCCTTAACAAATTCGGTATTTGTACGGATCTAATTTTAATTTTATAAATTAGAATGTGTTGGTGATTTTAGTACCTATGATACGATATATGAAATACTGGGATCCCAGTGACGGCTAACAAAACTTTTTCTATCGTTTCTTGATGCTACACCGTTGTCTTTCTCGCTTGAACGAAACTCGTAACTTTATACCCATATATGAAACCATAAACATTTCCACTCTTTTAATACAAAACTCAATTTAAGTATGCCATCATTTACAACAAAAACTCTTAGTACCTAAGACAAAAGCATTACAAGAACTTACTATCCAAAAGGTTAGTAACTACAAGGGCGTTTTCTAAATCACCTATCAACACTGTTCTCAGTGGAAAGAATGTCACAGTCCTTTTCGTAGTCACTTGAAGAAATCCGTTATCAGAAAATCTCCCCTGTACGTTCGTAGTTTCGAGCCACACAAATAAGGCTATCACATCTGTTTCGATAAGGATTTCAAACTCTTTTCCGATTCTATCAATTTGCCGCACGCTTGTCTGAAGCAAATTAAAATTCACATCCAATGACAGGTACGCTTTTGGTCAGAAGTAATGTCCCCGATTTTCTTCTGACCACGATTGCATGCTTACCTTCAGCTTGGGCGCTATCAAATTGGCATTTTTTATCGCCGTGGGGAAAAAGAAGTTATCTGGTGCGAGTGGATTATTTTCCCTATCGGTTAGCGTGTAATATACAAAGCAGTTACAGAACGGATCAACGCCACACCACTTTTCCGTTAAAAATGACTTCAAATCGATTGATCCGATTTTTCGTGAAGATCCCGGGAGCTGAAATCAATTCCATGACTAGGAGGGGATACAGTTGCATTACGTACTATTGTCGCCTTGACTGTCTCACTGTAAATTGATGTGGTAGAATTCCACCCATAAACTGTAAGGGTGAGTGTCACATTTTGAATTGGCTTCATTAGGTCGGACACGACGTAGGAATGCAAGTTATCTGTTACGCTTAATTCGTTTGATATTATAACAGGTGCGAAGAAGCGCTTGGCGAAGTAATGCAGCATTTTCCAGTTTTGTTTAAAATCTACTCAAAGAAACGTAACTTCCAGCAGAAAAACTGGAGACACAAACCTATGCTGGACCAAGACGGTGCGACCCAAACGTCATTAAGTTGCCAATACAAGGCCCCCATTGTCAATCCTTCCCCTATATCATTAACGTTTCCTCTCCACCTTCTAAACTTTTCCGTCGAAGTTTTTACGGACATAGCTTGCACGATTTGACTGTAAAATGTATAAGCTTGGTTAAAATTTGGGCTCTCGTAGTCCGGCAGTTTGAATTGGTAACCGATTTGTAGGTCCATCTCAACGTAACCGTAGGCGTGGTGTTGGCGATGTCTCAAGAAATTATCCAATATTCCTAAATGATTGCTGTCGTTCGTCGCCGTTAGTAAAGTTTGCACAGAAGGCAACGATTGGTATCCATACTCAGACACGAATCTGCTAATCGGATAAAGTGGTTGACTTAATCCGTTGGTCAAATAATTGTAAAAGTGAACTGAAAGCCACCTTCAGAATAATTCTGCTGTCGGTGCACTTACCATCGCCATAAAAATGACTCTGTGGGTCCTCCGCAATGTACCCTTCTCGCTCTGAGTCAACCCCATTTGTCGGACTCGACGTTAGAAATGGTCTGGTGCGGTCCACTGAGAGCACCATATTTTTGATGGTATCCACGTACAACTTTTTGAAATCACTCTTGTACAGGGAGAAATTGCTTTTGGTGCCGTACCAATTCTGACGTAAGGCTGCCTCATTTTCATTACTGGCCGCCCACACAACGACGGAGGGATGATGCTGCAATCTTCTCACCTGATGGTTTACTTCATCTGCAACATTTCTAAATCGAATTTAAACCACCACACAATAATTAGTCTCACTTCAAAAAATCTTGATCCACGGGATACATAGAGCAGGCAAACATGAAATCCTGCCAAATCAATAAACCCAACTCATCCGCAGCCTTATAAAACACATCGCTCTCGTAAACGCCACCTCCCCAAACCCGTAGCATGTTCATATTCGCATCTTTGGCCGATTTTAGCAGGAATTGTACGTGCGTCTTATTTTGACCCAGTTCGGGTAAAATGCTAACGGGAATAATATTCGAGCCCTTCATATAAATGGGGACGCTGTTAATTTTAAAGTAAAAAGTCCGCCCATGCTCTAAAAAGAAATTAATTGTCAATATAACTGTACCACAAACACAAGTTTCGGGCATATGCATGCCCCCCCCCCCCTCACCCTACGAAACTTCCGTAAAGTTACTTTTCCTTCTCGACAAACGTACAACAATAATTTTGAAATTACCCGTAAAGAGCGTCTAAAAAAGCAGCAGAGCACCTCGGTGTGACCCCACGGAGTCATTGAATTTGATCCATTTTCAACTGGCTTGATACATATGGTATATTTATGTTAACTGTCCAAAATTTGAACCAAATCGGTCCAAGCGTTTGACAGTGATCGTGTTCACGGACAGACGGACACCATCGACTCCCCTATAAAGCTTGCATCGCTTTACCGCTTAATAAACTATTTCCACAGTTCCACTAGTTGTTTGGATTGCTAAATAAATCAAGAGTGACATGATAAGTATACTTTTATTTTCCACTTAACAGAAGGTACAATAACATAAACTGTTGGCAAAAAAGTGCAATAGTTCAAAACTGTTGTATTTCAGTCACTACGCATTTAGCTAGCTTTAAAGCCGTTTCGCCCACGGTCTCTTCCAGTCGAGTACCTTTGCAAAGGTGGTACACGTGATGTGCCATTACAGGGCTCTCGAAATCCATAGAACCCTTTAGGTGTTCCTTGTTTATTACGCTGGTAGGATATATAACGCCCTCCATAACCATAGCGCAGCCAAAAAACGTTACTACTTCTTTAGTATCTTGAAATTCCCACGTTTTAAAGATCTCATCGATCACGTTAGGGTCAACACCGGATTGTTCTATGCATACATCCCTGAAGGGACCCATATACGGTAGATGATTTTCAAGCGAGGGGAGAATTATCTAAAGTTTGTTTCATTAAAGATATCATTGTTATTTATTTTACCTACAGGCACATTTCCTGACTGACACGCCAAAACGAGGCTTGCTAGCAACACTAAGATTTTCATCTTTGCGAACTGTGCAAAAAATCCTATATTCATTCTTTTATATATTTGCAAAATGCACAGAAGTGGAAAAATAAAAATACCTACCACTTCCTGTACCACATATAATATAGGTTTCGATAAACACCTACGCAGCCAGAAATTTGTTTATCCGGAATATTTTTAATGCGGATAACTTTTGTTTACACTTAAGATTTGATATACTTCCTGCGGAGCAGGACGGGTTTAACTGGTTTGGTGATATGATAAAAGATTTAGGCTAGGATTTAGGCATGGTAACGCTGATTTTTTTAAATGTGAGCCTAATCTTTTAAATCTTGGACCATTAATGTGTTTTTGATAGGAGTGAAGGGTATGTTTGAAAATTATAGATTCTACAGGCACAAACACTTTTTCTTATTAATTTTGGGCGTAGAATCCAAAGCAATTCGTACTTTTTCGATTAGACTTCTCATTCAAAAGTTATAGACTAGAAACCAATTTCAAAAGAAAATTCAAAGGGCTGTAACTTTTGATCTAGTGGCCCAATCTTGGAACTGTTAGAACTTATGGATTCTACAGGCCCCATTCTATAAGAAAAATTTTTTTTTTGGGTCGATCTGAGACAATTTTCTCTTCGAGCCTCAAAAAATGGCAGTGTAATACCTTCCTTTTTTACCAAAAATGGACGACACCAAAATTTCTCGGGAAAACACTTTCTCTTATTAATTTTGGGGCGTAGAATCCAAAGCAATTCGTACTTTTTCGATTAGACTTCTCATTCAAAAGTTATAGACCAATTTCGAAAGAAAATTCAAAGGGCTGTAACTTTTGATCTAGTGGCCCAATCTTGGAACTGTTAGAACTTATGGATTCTACAGGCCCCATTCTATAAGAAAATTTTTTTTTGGGTCGATCTGAGACAATTTTCTCTTCGAGCCTCAAAAAATGGCAGTGTAATACCTTCCTTTTTTACCAAAAATGGACGACACCAAAATTTCTCGGGAAAACACTTTCTCTTATTAATTTGGGGCGTAGAATCCAAAGCAATTCGTACTTTTTCGATTAGACTTCTCATTCAAAAGTTATAGACCAATTTCGAAAGAAAATTCAAAGGGCTGTAACTTTTGATCTAGTGGCCCAATCTTGGAACTGTTAGAACTTATGGATTCTACAGGCCCCATTCTATAAGAAAAATTTTTTTTTTGGGTCGATCTGAGACAATTTTCTCTTCGAGCCTCAAAAAATGGCAGTGTAATACCTTCCTTTTTTACCAAAAATGGACGACACCAAAATTTCTCGGGAAAACAATTTTTCTTATTAATTTTGGGGCGTAGAATCCAAAACAATTCGTACTTTTTCGATTAGACTTCTCATTCAAAAGTTAGACTAGAAACCAATTTCGAAAGAAAATTCAAAGGGCTGTAACTTTTGAACTAGTAGCCCAATCTTGGAACTGTTTGAAATTATGGATTCTACAGGCCCCATTCTATAAGAAAAATTTTTTTCCGGGTCGATCTCAGACAATTTTATCTCCGAGCCTCAAAAAAAGGCAGTGTTTTACCTTCCTTTTTTACCAAAAATCGACTACACCAAAATTTCTCGGAAAAACACTTTTTCTTATTAATTTTTGGGCGTAGAATCCAAAACAATTCGCACTTTTTCGATTAGACTTCTCATTCAAAAGTTATAGACTAGAAACCAATTTCGAAAGAAAATTCAAAGGGCTGTAACTTTTGAACTAGTAGCCCAATCTTGGAACTGTTTGAAATTATGGATTCTACAGGCCCCATTCTATAAGAAAATTTTTTTTTTGGGTCGATCTGAGACAATTTTCTCTTCGAGCCTCAAAAAATGGCAGTGTAATACCTTCCTTTTTTACCAAAAATGGACGACACCAAAATTTCTCGGGAAAACAATTTTTCTTATTAATTTTGGGGCGTAGAATCCAAAGCAATTCGTACTTTTTCGATCAGACTTCTCAATCAAAAGTTATAGACTAGAAACCAATTTCGAAAAAAAATTCAAAGGGCTGTAACTTTTGAACTAGTAGCCCAATCTTGGAACTGTTTGAAATTATGGATTCTACAGGCCAATTCTATAAGAAAATTTTTTTCCGGGTCGATCTGAGACAATTTTTTTTTCGGGCCTCAAAAAAAGGCAGTGTATAACCTTCCTTTTTTACCAAAAATCGACTGCACCAAAATTTCTCGGGAAAACACTTTTTCTTATTAATTTTGGTGCGTAGAATCCAAAACAATTCGTACTTTTTCGATCAGACTTCTCAATCAAAAGTTATAGACTAGAAACCAATTTCGAAAGAAAATTCAAAGGGCTGTAACTTTTGAACTAGTAGCCCAATCTTGGAACTGTTTGAAATTATGGATTCTACAGGCCACATTCTATAAGAAAATTTTTTTCCCGGGTCGATCTGAGACAATTTTTTTTCGGGGCTCAAAAAAAGGCAGTGTATAACCTTCCTTTTTTACCAAAAATCGACTACACCAAAATTTCTCGGGAAAACACTTTTTCTTATTAATTTGGGTGCGTAGAATCCAAAACAATTCGTACTTTTTCGATCAGACTTCTCAATCAAAAGTTATAGACTAGAAACCAATTTCGAAAGAAAATTCAAAGGGCTGTAACTTTTGAACTAGTAGCCCAATCTTGGAGCTGTTTGAAATTATGGATTCTACAGGCCACATTCTATCTTGGAACTGTTTGAAATTATGGATTCTACAGGCCCCATTCTATAAGAAAAATTTTTTTCCGGGTCGATCTGAGACAATTTTCTCTTCGAGCCTCAAAAAAAGGCAGTGTAATACCTACCTTCCTTTTTTACCAAAAATCGACTACACCAAAATTTCTCGGGAAAACATTGGTTTTTTTGTCTATAACTTTTCATTTTGATTTGATGAAAATGCAAAGGCCTATAAGTTCACTCAAAACGAATTTCCAAAGATATAGGTAAGGCCTACAATTTTCTTGAAAAGTAGCGCTTTAAAAAAAACAAGATAGGAAAATTAGAGATTACATTTTAATATAGCACATTCTTACATTTACAACTGTTAACATACATTTAAAAATAGGTACTACTACAAATAACAGAAAACAAAAATTTATACAACAGTCATTACCATGGTCAATCGATTAATAGGTACGTATAATAAAGTTACAATTTATTTTTATACGAAACTCACTGCAACAAATTAACGCCAGTTTTGTTTTGTTAAAATTTCTATATTAACTGAAACCTACCCGACATTTACAATTAATAGTACTCTTACATCTACCGTAAATCCAACTATATAGCACCTGTGAGTGGCATTTCGTTATAAGGCTTTTTTTATAAGTTACAAATAAAAAGGTAACACATAAAATACTAAAAAAGAATCCATGCATAAAACAATTCAAAATTCAAGTTCCTTTTCACTAGGTCTCGTGGGCGTAACGAAAAGAAAATTGAATAAACATAGGCACTTTATACGAGGAGCCCAGTCCATCTCTGAAAAATTTAACGCGTCTTATTAAATTGGAGAGAACTACTTAAGGGAAGTATTTAAATAGCAAATGGCACGTCAACTTGTACTTCTCTTCAAATGCATTGATGAATTTTTAGCCGTCGAAACCGAATTAGAGTCGCTGCGAACTGACCGATTTTTTACTTTTTTTGTTCGACTTAAACCAGCCAGCCGATTTTTCTGGATCGCGTGGCATTGATACGGACCTAGAGATGTCTCTACCGTTTTCCGCGCTTCTGTGATTGCTTAATGATTCGACTGATATGCTCTTCGACGATATGCGCTTGTCTTCTTTGTCCTTTGCATACCTAAGGTTTTCCTTAGGTTGCTTGTCTTTTTTTCTGTACAGCGTCATGCTGGAACCCTTGCCTAAGTCTTCTTGGGATTTTCGCAGGGTGTAGGACACGTTTTCTTTACTTTGCGATCTGCGGTTTAGCGTGGATGAGCTTTGGTTGGACCGTTTGGTTTCGTTTGCCTTCTTCTTTAATGTGGACGAGCCGTCCTTACGACTATTGCTGTTTTTGCTGATTCGCTGTTCGTATTTACCGTTTTTGGCAACTTTTGGGTACTGCGTGTAGTCAATGTCGTACGACTCCTTGTAATGGCGCGGTTTCCACGGTGCCAAAACGGAAAACGAACGGCTCAGTGTTTTCGTTTGCGGTTTGATGTTACTGGAGCCGTTCGATGCCAATTCTTCACGTGATGCGGCGCGGCGCCCGTTTCTCAAATAACCGGGACCTGGTATGTCTCCAACTGTAGCCGCGTGGAGGTACACAACGCTTCTCTGCGATTGTTGGCTGCTGTCACCTTCTGTCGAGCTCTCTACGGAGCTTACTTCGTTTCGTCGACGCCTTCCTCTGTCGTCGTGCCCATGGTGCTCCCTCGGCCTGTGGCTGGGTGATATGGGGGGTTTCACACTGACCCGTGAATTTTTCGAATCTCTTTCCGATTCGGATATATTCAGTAGGGACCTGTGATTGCTACTTTTGAGAGGAGTGCTGTACTCGGGTGTTTGCCTTTCTTCGGAGATGTTTTGCAAATCTCGATTGGACTGGCTTCGAACACGTTCCGAATAGTTCGAGTTTGTTATGGACGAGTGGGTTTTCGTCGGTTTATGGCGAAGGCTGTCGTTCGATTCGACGTCAGTATCACCAAAAAATCGTAGATTCTTTGTCGGTGTCGGTTTCGGAGCGATTTCGTCTTCACTTAATGCTACCTTTTCGTCCTGCGAAAACAGTTTGAACCACCTGTAAATCAGTACCTTTGATCTTACCTTTTTCGATTTTTTTCGTGACAATCGATCGATAGATTTAAACCAGCTACCGGGGGTCGACTCGGATTTGCCATTTCGCTGAACTTCGCGCGTTGGGCTCGGGCTTGGTGTTGACAAACGTCTTCTATTACTATACTCGTAACTCTGTAAAAAAAGGACAGTCTCAATGTATGCTTATTTAAATTAGTTGCATTCACACGTTTAGCTCAAAATGAAATTTGAAACTCTCCAAAAATAAAATGTGGTCAGTGTGTCGTTTTTTATAGCGACAACGATCAAATCATGCATTAAAGTGATATCAAATAACGTACACAACTTCCAATTCTGGAGAGGTTCCTACCCATGGATGGCTAATAAAGTGCCAGAAGAAAGGACAGGATGACGGCAATTTAATATAATAAGGTGGTTTGTGAAGAAAAAGAATTTTGAGATTGATTGCATTTATCGTTACGTCAAGTTGAGCGTGAAACGCCACTATAACAATTTCATTCTCATCTTATTTCTTTTTCGTTCTAAAGCCACCTACTTTACTACGTGTCTTTTTTTCTTTTATGCAGTCTGTGCCGCTAGACGAGTTTTTGTTAAAAAAACAAATACAAAGAGGTATTGGCAAAATCAACGAACTATTAAGATTATTGTTACCACGCCGATGTTTTTTAGTTTTTTTTTTTGCTTGTGGTCGACTACGGGAGATTATTACCCGTCTTAGCTAAAAAATATACGTTATGGTACATTTAATATTCCCAGCTGAGAAATTAAAATCGGTGATATTTTAAATACGCAAACGCGCCCCTAAATAATGGGGTGGTTAACGAAACCACTGGCTATTATATGAAGCTGCTATGGGAACTGAAAGCTTTAGGTACACCACAAATAATAAAAGGGGGTGGAAGTGAGAGAAGTCTTACACGCTTCGAATGATATTTTAGAAATATGTATATCAAAAATGTACACAAAATTATACGAATACATGAATATACTGTAGCGAATATTTCAGAAATCCCGATAGATGTGACGCAATCCTTCCGGGAAAAATGACGTGTTTATTTTAGAACATTCCAAAGTGTTCTAAGAATATTCTAGAACAATTGCCGTTTACTATATAAACAAATTAACGTATTTCAGTTCAGTTCAGTTCCAACTTCGATCCGCTTGTGTTATTTTATAAATTGTTAAGTGATAAACAATAATTTCCGTAATAAATTAATTAATTCATTGATAGTTAATTGCAAATAAATAAAACCACGTACCTAACTAAATTTATACATATTACATTTTGGAAGTTTTTGAGTAAATTTTGGATATGTATAGATATAGAAATGTTTCCAAAATTTTGGAAAAGTGCGCAAAAATGTGTTTCAAGAATGTTTAAAGAATTTTGGAAATGCCTCAAAATATTCCAAAAATGCTTCCGAAATATTGAAAACGTTTCATAAATATTGGAAATTTGTACGAAATTATAGAAATTTTGGATATGTTTCAGGAACGTGTAGCCAATTTTAAGATGGTGTAAAAACGGTTTTGGAATGTTTAGAAAAATTAATAAATATTTGGAAATGTTTCAGAAACGTGTCACAAGTCTGGAAATGTGCAGAAATTTTGGAATGATATCGATTCAAATTTAATCCAATATAACAGAGCAAATGAGATATCCGAAGCAGTGTTTCAATCGCCTTTCTGGGGAAGCCCGCCTTCGTTATACGCATGCCGTTGATTACGTCACGTTGCCGGAAATGGTCCTTGCTAACTTAATGGACCACATTCTCCCTAATTCTTCTTTTTTTAAAAGGCGCACAATTTGTTACCAATTTTACTGGCGCCCTACCCATTTCCATAGTGTACCCAGTATTGAATACAGTAAAAAAAAACGAAACGAGGGATACGAGAATCAGATCCGTATTTTTTTCTTACCGAATTACAACAACAACTGGTTCCTAAAAATTATTAGTTTGCGCCACCTTTGCATTAATTAAATGAAAACTGCAGTCACTTCTAGGTAATTGTCAGAAAAAAAGAAAAATGGGAACAATTTAATAAGAATTATTATTATGAATGTCACATTTTTTCCTCGTTAAGTATTCATGTAGCATTTTGTCGGTGGGTGCGCCCTCATGTTACAATTTTATATTCGAAATACACGTGTTTTGTTGAATCTGGTGCGATATATTTTATGTAAATTACAACCTGTTGTCATTGAGATATAAACAATGATAAAGTAACAGTTTCGAAATTCACGTAGTTTTGTGTTGTGCTTCGGCGATTTTAATATAGATAGACTTTCAAATACCCCATCGGAGGTTGATGAAAGGGTAAATGACGAGGGTTGCTACCGGAATGGGACGAAATAAACGTTCACGTTCATGTCGCGGATACATGAAAAGAGACTATAATGAGCAGCGTACAGGGTTATATTTATAAAGTGGGTATGTGCGGCATTCTCCGCTATCAGATGTGAATGTGACCGTATGTTTGGGGTCGACTGACTGGGCGGCCTTCAGGGGCCTTGTGGCCACTTCGCACAAACATATATGCTGCTAATGTCACCTTAGCGGGATACACGTTGGTCACTGAAGTTAACTCTTTATATTCAGATAAATGATCCTCTTCTAAGAAATTATCTCTTCTCCTCGCATTTTTCCTGTCTCGTTAACCGCCACTTAAAAAAGTTACGATTTTGTCCTTATTTTACATCGAAAGGCTCTTACGAATTACCCGGCAACGGAAAGCCTTTAGCTGTTTGCCTACAAATTTCGTAACTATTAAATTGCTAATGACCGCCAGGATCGTGTATTGGGCGTCGTTGTTTTCCATATACGTTCGGAGCTTTCTTGGGGAAGTTGCCAAATTTATGGCGTCAATTAGCACCTATACACAGTTAACATTTAAATTCTAAACGTCAATATTCGATGGGATAAACCAGAGCTTGAGTGATCGATTTCTAATTTTTGCGTATTGCTCCGTCAATAGCCATATCATAAAATGATAGTTGAAACACTACAACGGATCAAGGACACTTTTAGTTCCTCAGGATGCCTTTTGGTTTGAAAAATGTTCCTGCAACTTTTCAAATGATGATCAACGAAATTTAAACAAAATACACTATTGATGATTTTATAATATTTTTCACACATCAAAAACATTTTTTCGACTTTATCTTTAACGTAAGAGCACTTGATATCAAAAAGATCCTAGATAAATACGGATATTTCTTTAATGGATTTTTTAGGGGTGGTACATGTGAACTTTGATTGTATTCTTGACTTCTCTTACACTTCTTCTTTAAATACTAAATCTATACGGCAAATCAGTTTGGGATAGCATAATGTGATAAAACAAAGGAGGACTCCGAAACTGAAAAAATACAAAATACTTGGATACGCACTCCCAATGTTCCGTGCTTTGAACAACGAGGCAAAATTCACTCCATCTCAATAATACTTTAAAAATGTTTGGGAGGGCGCAATGGGTTAAAAAAGGAAAATACCTTTCACCTCCTAAACTGGAAAATTTAACTTTACACCGCCTCTTCTAGCACATGTGGTGACCTACGTGAATGTCCTAATTTAATTGGGGGCAATGGCGAATTATTCGTGGTTTAGGGAAGAAGGTTACTCTCCCTACATAGCAATATGAAATTGTGGGGAACTTTTTTTGTACATTGTAACGGTAGCTCTAAATTGACATTTAAATTTTTTCGAAATTTCGTTCTGAAGAAGTTAAGACATTTTGAAACTTTTAAGGGGCTTTGCGTATCATAGAAATTTCACAAAGTATAAAAATTTAGCGGTTGAATTGGTTTTCCAAATAAATTATATTATTCCTTGGGGCCGCTGTGCAAATGTGGTGAGTTTTTTCGTCGTTTAATTTGAATGAAGTATTGTTCTCTTAATAAGTTTCGGAAACCTCTCTACCAGATATGTCTGGAATTTATATCATTTTTCGTCTACTTAACTATACACTCGCTTGGAGGGCCCATTAGTGAAGTGGCTGCGAGGGACGCATGCCTCCTAGCTGTTGAGGCGGCCAGCCATTAGTCTAGGGGCTAAAAATAGGAAAGATGCAAAAGAGGAAGAGTGGTTCGAAGTGTTTAGAAGGAGGAAGAAAGATCACCGGAGAAAACGTAAGCGGACGCGGAGAGAAGGGAGCGAGAGAATGCGAAATAGAAAAAGGAGAATTGAGCGATTTGAAGGGAGGAGAAGAGGAAAACATGGCGAAAGCAATTGAGAAATTGCTGGAAGGCGTAAAGGAAGAAATCAGAAGCGCGGCTAAAGAGGTAAAGGAGGAAGTCGATAAAATGAAAGAGAAGGTGATGGAGGAAATAGGAGGATTAAAGAAGGAAATGAAGAGCAGAGAAAGTCAAAGGGATAAGGAAAAACAAGAATTCAATGATTCAAAAAAAAATAAAGAACAGCAGTAAAGGACACAAGGAAAGAGAGTAAGAACGGAGAAATAGCTAAAAGAAAACCTACAAGTAGAAGCGAATGTAAAAGACGCGAGAATATTTGAAGGAAATAATCTCGGGATTAACATGAGAAAAGAAGAGGGCGGGTATGGGGGGAAAGGGAAGGTTAAAGAGGAGCAGGATATACGAACATAGTTGACAAGTAAAGAAAGAAGGGTACAAAGAGGAATTAGAGCTAGCGGAAAGGAAAAGAAAGTAAGATGGCGATATAGGAAACTGATGGTAGAAGATGAAGAATACAGCTGATGGAGTATTAGTAAGAACGGGGAGGAAAAGAACGGTAGAGGAAAGGGCGGGGCTTGGAGGGAGAAATTAATAGCAGAAGAGTAGGTTCGGGGCGTGGGGGGGGGGGATTACAGACACAAACAACAGAAGATAAGACAGAAAATCAAGGGATAAGGTGTGCAACAAAGAGGGAAAAGTGTTACTGGAACTATGAGAGAAGAAATAGATTGAATTTGAAGTAGGAACAAGGATAGAATCGGTCACCAACCGATTGAATTCAGTCTAAAAGGGAAGATAAGAAGATCAAGAAATGAAAAGACGCAGATACGAATAGGGATACAGTAATGGACAAGAGACACGGTGGCGCTGTATAGAGGGAGACTAGAGGAACAAGGAGAAGAAATCGGAAGAGTGGAATAATATAAAGAAGAGTATCAAAAAGGAATAACGTAGAAAC